TTTGAGACTGCCATGCTGGAAAGGCCATGAATGGGTTCACCTGTAGACAGCCCCACTGAGCTGCCGGAGGACAGCCGGCATCAACTGCCAGCCATCCAACCCAGTCAAGCCTTCAGATAGCTGACAGCAACTGCATGAGAGACCCCCAAGAGAGAATTACCCAGCCAAAGCCTCCTCAAATTCTGATTCACAAAAGCATGAGCAAAACCAAAAAGCACTACATTTTGGAGTAATTTGTTGCAGTGCAATAATAATCAGAACCAGCAAAGACTCATATCCAGAATATTTAAAGAACTCCTACAAACCAATAAGAAAAAGACAATGGGCAGTAGTAAGGAGCAAAAGACTTGAAATCCAAATGGACAATTATAAAAATGTGCTCAACCTCAATAGTAATTAGGGAAAAGCTAACGAAAACCATAATGAGATATCACTACAAACCAACTAGAATGGCTAAGTTTAAAAAATCAAAAGTGACAATACTGTGTTGGTGAAGATGTGGAGCACAGGGAACTAGTTACACTGGTGTGGAATACAAAATGGTACAAATAATGAAAAATAGTTGGCACTCTCTACATTCTAAGACCTAGCAATGTCACTCCTAGACACATACCGTAGAGAACGTGGCACATGTACACCAAGAAATCTATACAAGAGTGTTCATAGCAGCGAAGTTGGAAATTGTTAACAACCCAAACTTCCATCAGCAGTACAGTAGATGGATAAATAAATTGTTGTTTTCACCCAGTAGAAGACTATGCAGCAATGAAAATGAGCGAAATATAGGTCAGCACAGCAGTACACAGGAATCTCATCAAAGATGCCAAACAAAAGAATATGTATAGGATGAATCTATTTAAATAGGGTTTAAAAAAAACAAGCAAAACAAATATTTGGGTAGTAAAATAATAAAGAAAAGTGAAGGAATGATAAAGCCAGGATTTGGAGGTTGGGGAGGGGCTTGTGATGAGAAAGGGGGATTTCTGATACCCCAGTGCCATTCTTTTTGTTTTTTTTTAAGATTTTATTGGGGAATTGACGGAGGGGAACAGCGCTGGGGAATCGGGGAAGGGGAACAGACAAGTTGCTGTCCTTTTGTTCTTCAGTCTAGTTGTGGAGGACGTCGCTTCACTGACCCATGTTGGTATTATCATCGCACTCTTCCCAGCTGAGGCAGATTGGTCACCAGGCACTGGACGGCCGCTCACAGCGGCTCTTGGCAGCTCACACCAGCTGCTGGCCGCTCAGGTTAGCTTACAGGAGCCCACTGCAGCCTATGCCATTGCCGGCGACTCACGGCAGCCCAGCTCGAGGTTGAGCTGCTGTTCACCATCTTAGCTGTAGAGGGCACAGCGTCACTGGCCCTCATGTGGGACCCGAACTGGGGCCCTGCTGCTCAGATATATACTTTGACATATACTTTCCATATTGTTACATCTCATAAGAATTTTTAAATTTTAAAACAAAAATTTTCCTCCTCACCCATCAATAGATGGGTGAGAAAAAAACCCTAACTTCATTATTTGGTTGCCTAGTTCCCCCCACTTTAATTATTAAATCAGCAAAACTATCCCCATTGATGTGATTCCAACTTAATAATATATTCAATTCTTACTTGTACTTGAAAGTTGGTAATGGTTGTTATCAACAATCTGGTCTTGGTTTTTGGCAAGGATGAACGGATGGGGGTGGGGAGGACGTGTGAATGAAGTAGAATAAAAGCAAGGGAGAGAGACAGTCATGGCAATGGGATTTATTTTTAAATAGGAAAATTCTAGAGACAGAACTGAAAAGAGAAAGGAAGTCAGTGGGAGGGTTGCCAAGTCAGAGAGTAAAGTGTCACCTGATAAAAGGGCTTATGAATGAGCTCAGAGCAAAAATATTTGGGGGAGATCTAAAGAGGAGGCCATGCCTACAGGGCGGAGGTGGATTCATGCCTACAGGGCGGAGGTGGATTATATCGGGTGCCTGGCCCATCCACCATGTAGGTGGTAAGATAAAGTTTAAGGAATGTTCTCAAAGATTTGACATACAGCTATTTTTTTACTAATTAATTAATTTATCTATTCATTCATTTATTTTTACTTTAAACATAGTATTTATTGACTGAAAATTACAGAAAAATACGCGCTGCCATATTTTGCCCAACCTTGACTGCCGGGCTCCATTCCGGTTTAAGCGCACAACGAAGGACAAGCGTTACATTTCTTTTCCGCCCTCCTGGAGCGGTCCCGACGCCCTCAAGAACCGTGGTTGATTCGGAAGAGGGCACTGACCAGCCTCCAACCCTCGGTGCGCAATAGGCACGGCCTTTCTGGGCTGGATGACCCCTCGGCCGGGGGCGGGGCTGAGAGGTGCGAGGGGCGGTCCGAGGCGCCTGGCCCCGCCCCGGAGCCCCGCCCCGCCCCGCCCCGCCCGCTCCAGAGCTCACACCTCGATCCCCCAGCGGCGGCTTCGCAGGTCCGACCCGCGCCGCAGTGGCCGGAGATGCAGCGGGGTGCCGCGTTGTGCCTACGCCTGTGGCTCTGCCTCGGACTCCTCCACAGCAAACGCGGTGAGCTCTCCGCCCTCCGCGGTGCGCGGCTGGCCGCAAGGGGGGACGCTCCCACGGGGCGAGTGTGGCACTGCACCGACGGGGTACGGGCGGGGGACAGGGAACCCGTCAGCCTGGGGCACCAAGAGAAACAGGGCCAGGAGCCAGGGGTACGGACACCGGACCAAGCACCGCAGGTCCGGCCCGGCCCGGCCGGGATGAGGAAAGGGCGGGCGGGGACTGCAGCCGGGTCAGGGACCGGGCTCTGGCTGCACCGCAACGCAGGGGTCGTGCCCGGGTTCCCGACCTCGCTCCACCATCTCTGGCTCAGCTGCCTTGGAGCAGGGCCGGGTCGCGCTTCATTCTCATTCTGGTCCTTCGCTTCCTTACTTGCTTCCCGGCGGAGTCCCGGCTCTTCTACCCGCGCGCACCCGGGATCGTCTCAGGGCGCCGAGGCGGCTATCCTCGCCCGGCCGCAGACCTGGGTGCGCACTTCCCGACGCCTCTCGTCTGCGCTCGAGATCAGTCCCCCAGAGGGCGCTCCGGGCGGCGCCCACCTTCCTCTGTCCAGGGACTCCGGGGGCGGGCGTTCGGGGACTGCTGGAAACAGGCGCAGTCCATGACTGCGCGCAGGTGCGTATTGGAACTTGAGGCGCATCTTGAGTCGGCAACTTGTGAGCGATCCGCATGGCAGAAGAGGCAGGAGATCGGCCCTCCCCGTATTGGGGGTGCAGGGTTCTTGAAGACTGAACTAAGGAGCCTGGACCATAAGGCCGGGAGCCACCACGGAAGCGTCTTAAGTACAGGAGAGGCTGGGTCCGGTCTGTGCCGGGAACATCACGGGAGGTTGCCGCCGTGGAGCTGGAGAGAAGGGAGTGTGGGGGGTAAGGAGGGAGCAGAGGGGTATGGTTAGATGGAGATGTCAGGGATAAAGCATCAGGAGTGGAGGGGGAATGAGCTGGAAGTCCACGCAAGACCTGGTGACCCTGGATATCAGAGGGTAAGAGGGGTGGCCATGGGTCCCCAGTGTTTGGGGCAGTGGGAACCGAGTGCTGGGGGATCTGAAGGAGGAAATGGGGATCTCGCCATTTGGAACACTGTGGGCACTGAATACTGGCTTTTACATGCTTTATCTCTTAACCCTCACAAGGGAGTGTTAGACCCACTTCTCAGATGGAGACGCTTAGACCAAGGACATATGTAACTTCTCCAAGGTTCCCAGGAGGCCAATAGTAAGGGAAGTGGTCAACCCAGGTCTTAGGGATGTGCCCTCATGAGCTAAGGGAGCTGTGGATGAACCTCAGGGTTCAGGGCAGGCGGAAGGAGGGCATCTCCCTGGTCCTCGAACTGGTCTGATCTGAACTCATCCTGCTGCCCCTGGGCCCTTCTCAGTCCCCTGCACCCAGTCCAGGGCCAGGCTCTCACAGGTGTTCAGTTTGTGTTTGTTGAGTGACTGAACGAGTGTAGGACAAGTGAATGGGGCCTTGGTTGGACTGTGGGGCTGAGGGGTGGGAGACCCCACCTTGAGGAGACATCTGGCAGGCAGCTGGGTGTAGTGTCAGAAAGAGGCTGGGCTGGGGAACTGGAGAGGGAGAAGAGCAAAGGTTCCGGGATGGGACACTCCCTCCCCAGAGGGGGCCAGAGAGAAAGAGGCTTCCAAGGAGATGGGAACATCTTTCAGGGTGTCAGAACCAAGAGAGGCTGGTGTCCTGGTGCTCGGGAGGTGGAGGAAGGCAGGTGGGTGAGGCCTGCCATGAGTGCAGGTAAGTCTTTCCAAAGTTGGGCAGTGAAGGGGAGGAGAGAGGATGTCAGCTGAAGGGGCCCATGGAAGGGGTGGCTCAGGCTGGATCAGGCTGGATCAGGGAGATGTCCACGGAGGGGAGAGGGCATCATTGCTGCCCCTGAGCCACCCACACTGCTAAGTGAGGGGGACTCTGCAGCTTAATGGGGAATGCTGGGACAGCAACACTTCATCTGAGTGTCAGCGCAGCCAGTGTGTGAGGCCAGGCCCTGGCAGATGAGAAGCCTAGAGACCCTGAAGTTGACCCCTCACATGTGTGCTATTGGTCCTAGAACCAGACTCTTGTCCCAGCTCTCCCCCTAAGTCCTTTGCTCTATGGCCTGGGCTGCTGACTTCCTCTCCCTGCACCTCAGTTTCCCCAGGTACAGCAGTATGACAGTCTGGCAAGTACTGAGGGGTTGTGTTTGGGCTGGACTTCATGGCTCGGTGTCTCAGTCCCGTTCCAAAAAGCCTTGTCCAGGCAGTGTTCCTGTAGAGAGGGCAGGTGGCAGAGGTCAGCCCCAAGAGGCTTTGTCTCTTGGGCTTAGCCTAGAGAGGCAGTTTGTGCCTCTGGACAGTGGGCACTCAGCTCAGGGATATGCAGGGCAAGCAGGTGACAGCTGGGCAGCTACACTGGCCTAGCCTGAGGACGCTGGCCCGTGCTGTAGGCAAGTCGCACATGGCCATCCCAGCTCTCTGCTGTCCCAGCTACTCAGCCCTGAGCCAGACCCAGGTGTGGGATACAGGCGAGGGCAAGGGAGGTGGGGGGCGGTCCAGGCCGAATGTGGAGGCTGGGCGCACCCTACTTGGTATCTGTGGACCACTGGCCTCAGCTCAGTGCTGCGGGTATTCCAACGCAGGCACTGCTCACGTGCTCGTGCTCAGCAAGCCAGAGGCACAGGGTCAATGTGGCTGAGGGGCTCTGCCTCCTCAGAGCACAGTGGGTGCGAGGTGTCACAAGGGGACTGCTGGCCAGCTCCCAGCTGTGCTTTCTCCACCCTGACCCCAGGCAGTGGCACCCTGACCGAGGAAAGGTGACTGCAGTTCTGTGCAAGTCACAAGCTGCAGTGCTCAGGGTGCTCCAGGGGGAATTTGGACCCAGCCCTATCCTGCAGGGGTTTCCTGAATGCCAGACGAGCAGGGACACAGACGTGGCATCAGA